ACGGGGCCGGGGCGAGCGGTGCCGGGCGGTGCCGGCCGTGCCGGGCCGGACCGGGAGGAATTCCGGCGGAGCGGAGGAATGCGGGGCTCCCGCCGGCCGGGCCGCGGAGGATGAACGGCAGCGCCCGCCGCCAATGGGGARCGATGGGGGGCGGGCGGTGCCGCCCCCGGTGGGAGCCGCGGGCAGGGGGCGCGATCCACGCGTGCTTCCCTGGGTRTTYCAGGGGTGTTCTTCCTCCAYGCGTGCTTCCCGCGGGASTCCCRTSGATGTTCTTCCTCCACGCGTGCTTCCCTGGGTGTTTCAGGGSTGTTCTTCCTCCACGCGTGCTTCCGTGGGTGTTTCAGGGGTGTTCTGGTTCCACGCGTGCTCCCTGTGGGCGCTGCAATATTGCCGGTGCTCCGCATGAACTCCCGTGGGTTTTGCGTGGGTGCCTGTGCACCATCTGTGCTCCCGTGGGCGCTGCTTGTGCCGGGTCCTGCCAGTGCCTGAGATTCCTCCAGGAGCAGCCCCGAGACCACAGGCCAGGGCTTGCCTCTGAGTTATAGCAAAACTTCACCGTTTCAGCAAAAATCACCAGAAAAAGTAGTTTTTTCCCCCATGAAAATCGCAGAACGGCCATCGGCCTCTGCTCCCGCTGCTCCAGCACTGGCTCTCCCAGCCCAGCCGGATTTAGTAGCAGGTCTGGGCTGCACCGTCCCAAAAACCTGCTGGGGCTGCGGGCAGCCGCGGCTGGACCCTGTACTTATCCCATTAGGGCGCTCAGCRGCCTCCCATTGAGGTTTCCTGGGGCGGTTTGCCTGCCTGGCCGCACCGGGATGTGAGCTCCATGCCGGGATGTGAACTCCATGCCGGGATGGAGGCGCTCAGCACCGGCCCTTTGTTGCGGGATCACCGCAGAGCACATCCAGCTGCCTCGGCAGCGTCCTGCCGCCACCCCGCACCAACTCTCGCTCCTTCCGGAGATGTTCCTGCTTCGCTGGCGCCGGATCTGGGCTGTAACCCTCGCTAGAGCTGTTGGGGTGCAGCCGAGTCCCCCATCCCCAGCACGGGGATGGTTTGGGAGGCTCACRGATGATGTCATCAGATGACCTCATGCAGATGACGTCATGTGAATAACATGTAGATGTCTTCCCTCCATTGTGGTGCGKTGGCAGAGGTGACTCTGATGCCAAGCTGGGACAAGCTGCTGGTRGCTGGGCAGTGGGCTGGGGACCTCACTGGGGTCTTCATTGGGCACCTGGCTGAGGCCATGACTTGGCTCCTTACTGGGGACATTGCCAGAGTCCTCACTGAGGACCTGCCTAGGGGCCATCCTAGGGATCTTGTYCCCMAAACCAAGGACTGTGCCCCTGCCRCCCCTTCCCTCCAGCCACCCGCCACAGTCCCCAGCTGACCCCTCCTGTCTCCCGCAGGTCCTCGGGCGCAGAGCAGTGCCGGCCATGCCCTAGAGGAGCTTTGCCATGAGCCAAAGCGGGGCCTCTCGCCTGGCCGGCTCGCCGCCGCTGCCGGGGGGCTCGCTCCTGGCCCTGCTGGCCCCCGAGCCGTCCCCGTCCCCCCCCAGCGGGACACCCTCGCCCGGGCCCCCGCCGGCGCTGCTGGAAGGGGACTGGGAAGGGCGGGAGGAGCTGCGGCTGCGGGAGCTGGAGGAGGCGCGGGCGCGGGCGGCGCAGATGGAGAAGACGATGCGCTGGTGGTCGGACTGCACGGCCAACTGGCGCGAGAAGTGGAGCAAGGTGCGAGCCGAGCGCAACCGGGCACGGGAGGAGGTGCGGCAGCTGCGGCACCGCCTGGAGGCTCTGACCAAGGAGCTGGCCAGCCTGCGCCGTGACCGTGATCGTGACCGCGACCGGCCGGACGAGCGCCCGCCACGGCCACCGCCACAGCCCAGCCCCGGCAGCCCAACCGCCGATGGAGCAGAGGGGGACGGCGGCCCTGAGCAAGAGCCTGTGCGGGATGTGGGGGCTGAGGTGCCCCAAAAAGCCAAGGTGAGGRTGTGAGGCAGGGTAACAGGGGAGCTCCTCATCCCCATCAGCTGTCCATGTGCACCCCCAAACCACTACTGCAATGGTGGGCAGTGTGGGGGGACTGCTCTTGGAGGGGCATTGGGAGGGTCAGACCCCTCTGAGAGCAGGATTTTGGGCTCAGACCCCTCTCGGAGCAGCACAGGATGGGCAGACCCCTCTTGGAGCAGTACAGGGCAGTCAGACCCCTCTTGGAACAGCACTGGGGGGTGTCAGATTCCTCAGAGGAGTGTCAGGAGGGGACTCTAAGCCCTCATAGCCCCATGCAGCCAGGTCACCTTGGCACTGGCACCAGTGCCTGTCCTGGGGCTTTCACTTTGGAGGCAATAGGCAAAAACTGTGCCACTACAGGGGACGGTGGCATTGACAATGCTGGTGGCATCTCCCAGCCGTGTCTCTGCATGGGCTTCTGGCTGAGGCTTGTGCTGAAGGGAGGAGAAGGAGGAGGAAGGAGGGGACACCAGAGCCATCTCAGGGATGCTCCCAGCTGCTCCAGCTATCCCTCTTCTGCTGCTGTTGGCTCTGTCGTGGCACAGAAGTCACTRCTCGGRATGCCATGCCGTGACAGTTCACTCSRCCTGACAGCACAGCTGCCAAGTGACAAATCTGAGACAAATGTGAGCATCCCCCACAGGATCCACACCTGGTCCCCAGGGACTTCTGTGGCTCATTTACTATGTGGTCAGAGCAACTGGTAGAAGGTCACCCATGTGGCAGTCCTGGGTGAGATCGGTGTCATAAATTGGCTTTAAATTTTCTGATTTTCAAATTTGCAGCATGACAGGGAGCCAGCAGCAGAGTGTGGTGATGGCAAGTCCTTCTCCATCAACCTCAGGGGATCTCTGGGGAATGGAGGGACAGACTCTCTTGGTTATGGGGTGAGGGCTGGGTGCTGTAGCAGCTGTGAAGCCAGGGCTGCCCCCTCACCCTTTCCCCTGTGCTGGGCCACCCACGGYGCCGCAGGAGCTGGAGCTGATGGAAAACATCTTGACGAGCAAGCAGGACGAGAGCTGGGAGCAGCGGGGCCCCCGGGCCTCCTTCAGCCGCCAGGAGCGGAGCCGCCTGCTCTGGGAGGACGTCAGCGTCGTGGAGGAGGATGCCACCAAAGTCACCGCCCTGAAGCTGAGGCTGGAYGAGTCCCAAAAAGTGCTGCTCAAGGAGCGCGAGTGAGTGCTTGGGGCACCATCCTTGCAGCAGATCCCACCTGGTCCCCACTGGGGTGGGATGTCCCTTGGGGTCCTGCAGGCTGTCACCAGCATTGCCTCTCCCCAGGGACAAGCTGGCGCTCAGCAAGAACATCGAGAAGCTGGAGGGTGAGCTCAGCCAGTGGAAGATCAAGTACGAGGAGCTCAACAAGAACAAGCAGGAGGTGATGAAGCAGGTGAGTGAGCTGCCTTGGTGGCCCATCCCTTGGAGGGTGGCACGTCCTGATGGACACGGGGGTCCACAGCCGCTTCCCCACCTCCAGGTTGCTTATTAAGGGTCTTCATTAGTGCAGTTGGTCCAGTGGGTCCCTCTGCAGAGGTTGGGTGTGGCACAGCTCTGGTGGAAGGTGGATGCTCAGAGTCCCCTGTGGGTACCATGTCCCCCCACAGCTCAACATCCTGAAGGAGATCCATCAGGACGAGCTGGGGCGCATCTCYGAGGACCTGGAGGACGAGCTGGGTGCTCGCTCCAGCATGGACAAGAAACTGGCTGAACTGCGTGCAGAGGTGAGGCCGAACCGCAGCGTGGGGGACAAAGGGAGCTGCCAGGGGGGTCCTGCTTCCCCCCAAACACCCCGTGCCCCTGTCCCAGATGGAGCGGCTGCAGGCAGAGAACGCGGCTGAGTGGGGCCGGCGGGAGCGGCTGGAGACGGAGAAGCTCAACCTGGAGCGGGAGAACAAGAAGCTGCGGGCGCAGATCGAGGACCTGGAGGAGGTGCTGGCTCGCAAGAGGCGCCAGACTGCCAGCGCCCTGGACACCGACCTCAAAACCATCCAGGCTGAGCTCTTCGAGAAGAACAAGGTGCCACAGGGGTGGTGCTGTCCCTGGGTGACTCTTGTGGGGCTCAGCATCCCCAAGGACTCCCTCAAGCCCAAACAGCCAAGGGATGGTGTGACCCCATCAGCGCCATCAGCCCCTGGGTCGTGGGGTGGGGCAGTGGGAGAGGTCCCTGGGCAGGGAGGAGGGGGCACCAGTGGTSGGGGTGGCTGACCCCGCTCAGCCCCTGCCCCATGCGCACCACAGGAGCTGGCTGACCTGAAGCACATCCACACCAAGCTGAAGAAGCAGTACCAGGAGAAGATGGCCGAGCTGGCCCACGCCAACCGCCGCGTGGAGCAGCACGAGGGAGAGGTGAAGAAGCTGCGCCTGAGGGTGGAGGAGCTGAAGAAGGAGCTGGCCCAAGCCGAGGATGAGGTGGGAAAGCTCAGGCTGGTGGAGAGGGTCGGGGTGAGCAGTTCTGCTCCCTACACGGCTGCCAACAGCACCATGCTGTCCCATTCCATCCCATCCCATCCATCCCATCCCATCCCATCCCATCCCATCCCATCCCATCCCATCCCATCCCATCCCATCCCATCCCATCCCATCCCATGCCATCCCACAGCTGGACGAGGCCCACAACCAGACTCGGAAGCTGCAGCGGTCTCTGGACGAGCAGACGGAGCAGAGCGAGAGCTTCCAGGTGCAGCTGGAGCATCTGCAATCCCGGTGAGCAGGGGCTGGGTGAGCCAGTGGGGACCTGCAAGGACCCTCGGGTGGGATGTTCTCCTTGCCACCATCCCTCGACCAGCCTCTGCCTGGTTGAACCCTGGGCTAAGCATGGCCAAAGTGCCTCCGACATCCTCGGAAGGGGCACTGCCAYCCTCAGAGCAGCTTCACCCCACTGCAAGCTGAGTGGCATTCAGCTCCCAGTTAATCCAGCACAAAGCTGCACAGAGACCAGCACAGCCCAGCTTTGTGCTGMTCAGGGYTGCACYCAGAAGTWCCCAGGGTRARGGGAGGCTCCAAGCATCCTRCACCAGTCTGGGRAGGTGGGAGCTGAGTTTTCTTGCCCTTCAAACTTTCCGTGGCTCTGCTTTGCCTCTCCAGCAGTAAARAGCTGAAATGGCCGTGGGATCGATGCCGCGGCTCCAGGAGGCGCTGGGGRTGGTGTTTATAATCTTCCTTTATTTTATTGGGACTTCTGCATTAAATCATGGAAGCATAATGGAGGATTCATCACCCACCCCCCAAACTCCCTGTGCGCTCGACCCTAAATAATTCATGCTTTCCAGTAAAGTGCAGTGGACTGGTTGGATCTCACTGGATCCTGGGCCTTTGGATTTCAAATTTGATTCATAAATTTTCCTTGATGAATTTTCACACAAGGGCAAGTGAGGAGCTAAAACCACTGCAGGCTTCTGGGAATGGGGGCTCCTGGGGTTTTTGGGGGTTCCTTATTTTATAGGGACGACACCTCTCAGCTCTGCACTCTTGTCTGGGTCTGACACAGGGGTGTCCAGCCCTGGAGGGGTTTGCCTGTGCCCCGTTTGTGCTGAGCACCATCCACAGCTCCCCAGCCCCATGCWGGAGGGTTGATCCCAGTTTGGGGGACTCATCCTGCCCCAGAGCTCAGTGAGGCTGCAGGAAGGAGTCCCCCCAGGGTGCAGCCATGCTGTGGRTGTGCAGGGGGACAGGCTCAGCTTCAGGGGGCCGTGCCTGCCRCCCCCAGCCCAGCAGCTCTCCCCCTCAGGCTGCGGCGGCAGCAGAGCGCTCCGCTTTTTGGCAAGATGCGCAGCACACGCTTCGGCCCCGACGACGCTGGGGACGGCACCAGTGACCCCGATGAGGACGAGGACCTGCAGATACAGGTGCCCTAGAGCCCAGGGCCAGTGCCACCAGCGCAGSACATCGCACACCAGTCCTCTGCGTTCGAGTGCGTGTCACAGGACCCAGCTGTGCATTGTATAGATGTGGAAACTGAGGCACGGAGCGCTGGGGAGGAATTTGCCCAAGGATGCTCCAAACCCACTGCCTCTTGGACAGTACTGGATGTCCCTTCAGCCACTGGCATCTCCTGGGACACTGATGTGGCCACCAAAGCCAGCATCACTGAGCAGCCCAGCAGGCGCAGGCACCAAACCTGGCAGCCACAAACTGCCCACTTCTTTTTATATATATTATATATATGTATGTATTTGTATATGATTTTTTTATTATAAATACAGAGCCCCGATGGGCCYAGGCTCTGGTGGTGGTGTGAGCTGCTGATCTGTCCATACACAGGAGTGAGGGTGGGGAGGGCACACACTGGGGACAAGCAGCATTTCTTTACCAGCTGTGCACAGGTCTGGATGTCACCTACAGGCAGCCCTGTCCCCATGCCTGGGGGTAAAGCCTGTCCCTGTGCATGTGCAGTGGAAGGTGCTCACCCAGAGGTGCTCACCCTGGGACAGTGCTGACCCAGGGGTGTGGGGTGCTCACCTGTGGCTGCTGATCACCCCAGCACAGCCCCTTCAGCCCAGCCCCCCCAGCRCAGGGCCTTGGGGGCTTTGGAGGCGCTCAGACACAACCTTATTAAAAATTAATATTTCTGTGAGCTAATCCCCTCGCTCTGCCTTTTAATTGATTGGCTAAAAGCGCAGCTCTTTGCTGCTCGTGGGGTTTTTTAATGCCCTTTTATTTCCAGCGATTATTCATATTTTTATGGCCCAACAAGTGAGCCCGAAGGGGTGGGGGTGCCTGGGGCAGCTTCAGTGGGGGGCCTGGARAACAATTTGGGGGGCACAGAGCGGGGAACGGCGATGAGGAGACACCTGAGCTGAGGGACGGACCAGAGGCTGCTGCCGCCGCCCGTCAATCGCTGCGGGCTGTTCGCTCTGAAGCCTGATGATGGAAAGCTCTTTCCAGGGCGGCCGGTTGTGGCTCCGGTTGGGCAGCCCGGGGGTGGCGGGGGGGTACCGGGGCGGGGCCGGGCGGGGCGGGGCGGGGCCGGGCGGGGCTCAGCGGCTCCGGGGCTCGCAGGACGCGGCGGCTCCGCTCGCACCGGAGGCCGGGTAAGGCGGGGGCACCGCCGGGGGAACGGAGCGGGCGGACGGGGTGACACAGACCGGGTTTGACCGAGGTTTGGGCTGACAAATGTCGGCGGCGAACGGCGGGGGGGGTGACAGCGCCGGTGGGAGATCGGGGGGTGATGGTGAAGAGCGGTCGGGGGGAGCCAGGTGTGGCGGTGCCGAGGTGACAGGTCGGGGGTAGGGGCAGGAGATGCCCCCCCAGCATCTCTGAGTTCCCTTGCGGTGTTTATGATGGGGTGGGGTGATGGGGATGGGGGAATGCGGGGGACATTCCCCTCCAAGGCGAGTGCTGTCCCCGGCCTCTCTCGGGACAGCAGGCGGTCCCCAAGGTGCTGTCCCGGTCCGATTCCCCTGGGTGCTGGGCTTTGGGGCGTCGCTGGCATGGAGGAGCATCCCTGGGGATGGCCCTGTTCTGTTTCCTGGGTTACTGCCTTCTACCTGGGGCTGCTCCAGCTGCCAAAGGAACGCGGTCCCCACCTGGTCCCACCGGTTGGGGCTGGGGGGACCAGCAGGGACCAGGCTGAGAGAGGCCGAGCTGGTGGCAGGGCTGGAGAGAAGCTGGGTTACACCGGGGAGGGCGAGGTTGGGAGCCGGGGTCCCTCTGGCACCCGATGGCGACCAAAACACCCCGCACCAGAGCTGGCAGGGCCGACAGGGGATCGTTAGCCCCCAACCCCACTGGCCTGCCACCGGGGCCATGTTGCCGCCCAAGCGAGCAGCCTGGGAGGAAGGAGGGGCAGTGCGAGAAGTGATGGAGACCTGTGGGCGAGGTCTGGTGTGGGTGTCCCCTCGGACACATGTTGGAGCTGGTGGGGACCGATCGCTKGTGTGTGCCATCCTGGATCCACCGTGCTGGCAGGGGTTAACACCGGACTGTTCCACTCGGATGGTTCAGGCAGCAAAGGGAGGAGGAAGAGGAGGAGGAGGAGGGGAAGGAGGAGGAGGAGGAGGACGACAAGGAGGAGGGGGAGGAGGACGAGGAAGATGTCACACGTCGATCTGTCATTTCTCTTTTCCAGCCAGCATGGGGGACACTGCTAGCACCAAGCTGGGCCGGTGGTGAGACAGGAGGGGTACGGAGGAAGAGGATGGAGAGGGGGGGGCGAAGGTGAAGGCAGCCCCCCCCTCCCAAAATATCCCCCACCCTATCGAGCCATCACCATGGCGACGAATTTTAACGACATCATCAAGCAGGGCTATGTGAGGATGAAGAGCAAGAAGCTGGGGGTGAGTGGGGATCTTGGGGAATGGGGGGATGTGCGCGGGAACACCCATGGGTTTGGGGTGCTGCTTTCCCAGTGAGGTGACGTGGCCGGTCCCTCTTGTGACATCCTGTGCCCCTGTTTTTGGGTTGAATAAGCAGCATTTTGGGGGCTGTGGTGGCAGAGGGGTGGGGGATGGCAGGGACAGGCCACTTGTTGGTACCCAAATCACCCAGCAGCTCCAGGGGTCCAGCTCCTGCACCGGCCGGATCCTGCACCGAGTGACACCCGTTCACCTGTCCCAGGTCACCCGGGGTCTGGGGATGTCCGTGAGCCCTCCCTCACCCCCGTGCCTCAGTTTCCCTGCACACACAGTTTGTCATCGGGGATGCCTCACAGCGGGAGGGGCTGGAGCTGCTGGGTGCAAATCAGGGTGGTGTGGGAGTGCAGCACCCACGGCTGAGGGGTCAGGGGGTTCGGTCGCCCATCTCCACCGCTTGGAGCCGGCAGCAACGAGCATGCTGGGTAATTTCATGCTAATTAGGGAGAACAAAGAGGGAGCGGGCTCGAGTGGGGGGCGACATGCCTGGGGACGGTGGCCCCACCACCCTCAGAGGCAGGGGCTGTGGGAGAGGGGACGGSTACATTCCAGAACAGCGATCCCCCCGGGAGCTTTGTCTGTGTTCATTAATTAAGCTCTGTAATTAGCATGGCGGGGGGTGGGGGCAGATGATGGCAACCCCGGCAAATCCCCATCCCCAGCACCCCCTCCTGTCCCCAGGCCAGCAGTCAGCAGAGCCAGGCACGGGTCCTGGGCTTGGGGACAGGGGTTGGTGGGGATGCGGAGGGACAGGGACCCCAGGTGGCCCGAGCAGCCGCCGCGCTCTCTGTCCGGCAGATCTACCGGCGGTGCTGGCTCGTCTTCCGCAAATCCTCCAGCAAAGGGCCCCAGCGCCTGGAGAAGTACCCGGATGAGAAGGCGGCGTGTCTGCGGGGGTGCCCCAAGGTGAGGGGTGCGCAGGAGGGGTGCCGGGGTGCCGGGGTGCTGCCCGCTGCTCGGGGCCCCGGGCCGGAACAGCTCCTTCCTTGCCGTAACTTGCTGGGTGGCTGTCGCCCCGTGCGCTGCGGTGCGCTGCAGRTGTCAGGGTCTGGGTGCGGCGGGTGACAGTCTGCGAGCAGCAGCCTTTGGTGACCCCCAACTCCTCTGCAGGTCACCGAGATCAGCAATGTCAAGTGCATCACGCGGCTGCCCAAGGAGACCAAGAGACAGGCGGTGGCCATCGTTTTYACCGACGACTCCGCCCGAACCTTCACCTGCGACTCAGGTACGGGGCAGCGCCCAGGGGAGCCGGGCTGGGGATGCCGGGTGGGGCACCCCGGCGTGGCCAGGGTCGCCCAGGGGCTGCCGTGGTGCCTTGCAGAGCTGGAGGCGGAGGAGTGGTACAAGACGCTGTCGGTGGAGTGCCTGGGCGCCCGCCTGAACGACATCAGCCTGGGGGAGCCCGACCTGCTGGCGCCCGGCGTGCAGTGCGAGCAGACGGGTGAGCGCGGCGGCGAGTGCTCGCCCGGGGCTCCGCCTCGCTGCACCCCCCGCAGATTGGTTTATTTTCTATTTTTTCACCCTCTCCAGACCGGTTCAACGTGTTCCTCCTCCCCTGCCCCAACCTGGACGTTTATGGCGAGTGCAAGCTGCAGATCACCCACGAAAACATCTACCTCTGGGACACGCACAACCCCCGGGTGAAGCTGGTCTCCTGGCCCCTCTGCTCCCTGCGCCGCTACGGCCGCGAYGCCACCCGCTTCACCTTCGAGGCCGGACGGTGAGATGTCACCCCTGCCATGGCAGGGATCACTGCTGGGTGCCTTTGCCCAGCTGGGTGCTCCAGCAGGGAGCTGGCATTACCACAGGGCAGGTGTGAGGCTGGGGTGATGGTCATGGCCTGTACAATGTGCCCATGGAGTTGGTTCTAGTGCCAGCTCAACTCCATGAAGGGGACATAGGGACAGTTCTAACAGTGTGGGAAGCTGTGCCAGCTGCCACCTGGGGTGGATTTTGTCTATCACCCCTCGGCTTGAGGACCCTGCTGACASCCTGTGCCCTGTCCCCGCAGGATGTGCGACGCAGGAGAAGGTCTCTACACCTTCCAGACACAGGAAGGTGAGCAGATCTACCAGCGCGTGCACAGCGCCACGTTGGCCATCGCTGAGCAGCACAAGAGGGTCCTGCTGGAGATGGAGAAGAACGTCAGGGTGAGCTCCAGCCCACGCCGAGGGGGAACGAAGCTGGGGGAAGCTCCGGGGGCCCTGTGTCATCCTCCTCCCATCTGTCATCCACTGCAGCTGCTGAACAAGGGCACGGAGCACTTCTCCTACCCCTGCACCCCCACGACCATGCTGCCCCGCAGCGCCTACTGGCACCACATCACCGGCTCCCAGAACATGGCAGAGTCCTCCAGCTATKCTGGTGAGTGTCCCCACCCCACCCTGAGGAGCTGCTGCTCCTGCAGCTCCCAGAGCTTTCCCCACCAGTGAGCMCACCCTCTGCTCTGTCCCCAGGGGAGGCGTACGCAGGTGCCCAGGCCAGCTCGGACACCGACCTCCTCAACAGGTTCATCTTGCTGAAGCCAAAGTCCTCCAAAAGTGACAAGCCTGAAAGCAGGGAGCCCACATCATCCCCATGAGCTGGTGTGGGGGGACTGTGGCAAGGGTCCCCTTTTTCTTGCYCAAGGGGTGGCAAGGACACAGGCAGCTGCTCCTCAGAATCCCCAGGAGACCGAGCTGGAGCACCTTCRTGCCAAGACCTTGGGAAGCAGGTGCTGGCTCACGCCCTGGTCTGGCGTTAGCGGAGATGATGGCTGGCTCAGCCTCAACTGACTTCAAATATATATTGAATATCCGTATTGTAAGAGATATTTCCTTCTCACATGAATGCAAATGTGGTGGCTGCTGAAGAGCCCTTGGGCAGATGCCCAGAGGTTTTTGACTCTTGGGGAGGTGAAGAGAGATGGGGGGGTCAYGAAATTCAGCTTTCTGCATGGCAGGAAGGCTGGACATCATTCTACCATGGCCATGGAGCAACGTTGGAGGATGTGGCTGTGCCAGGCTGATGGTGCGGGGTCCTACCCCCCATGAAGAGTGGGGTGCTCCTGAGGACACCCTGCCATCCCTGAGCTGATTTTTGCACTTCTTCAAGCTATTTAAACACTCGCTGTAGAATTGAGATGTCTCAGGAGAAACTGGTTTTCCTTCCAGGGGGGTTGGCTGGGGTGAGCAGCCAGGCAGAGCCAAGCTCTCTGACTTCTCCCATCCCAACACCCCTCACTCCTCCTACAGCTGTGTCCCCCTGCAGTGCCCCTAGTTTATCTGCTGGTGGGCAACCATGGGACTGGTTTTGGCCAGTAGCATCCGTCTCTCAAGGGGCAGCTTTGTGGATAYGAGAAGCCCCAGGGCAGAGAAGCCCATGCCGATGGGGAGAGAGCCACATTCCTCTGTGCATTCCCATAGCCCACACTCCCTCCTCACCCACTGGGGGTGGAACTGGGCTTTATGTGCTGAATTTAAAAGCAATTGATTTTTTCTAGTTCTCCTATTTATTGACCTCCTTTAGAAGGGCTATCTTTTTATTGCCGTGCAAACCTTGGTGTTTCTTTGGAGTCTTCTTTCCGTCTGGGTTGGATGCTTGGTGGTTTTATTTCTGCTTTTTAAAGCTCCAGGTCCATGTGGTGGGCACAGGGATTGTCGTGATGTGGGAACCTGTGGTCTGTAAATACTGTGTTTCAGGGTGGTGTAGCTTGTGGCTGAGGCTGGGGGGACGTGGGGACAGAGAAGGGCTGCTCCTCRCAGTGTGGCTGGGCACAGACGGGCTCTGGGACCCCAGCACTGCCCAGCAGTGTGTCCTCCCTGGGGTGAGAGGTGTAACGTGCTCTCTTTTCCTGGCTACACACCTCATCTGGAAAAGATTTAACATTTGTTACCAAAAATGTTYGGCTTTTCTGTTTTTTAAGGAGTTGCTCAATGAATAAACAACCCTTATCCACATCCACCCTTCCTGTTTGTCTGTTCCATCCAAGCGCTCGGGAAGCGCAAGTGGGAGTAGTGCCTGCCAGAGAGAAAAATGCTGATGGGGGGAGATTTCCTGAGGTTCCTGGCAGCACGCTTGGCTCAGGGCTTTGTTCTGCCTCCAGCCATGGCCAGGACATTTCAAGTGAAGCCCTAAACCACTGGGATAGGAGGAAGGGTGGAGTGAGTGGCCACTCTCCATCAAAGAACTCTCCATCAAAGTGGAACAGGATGCCAACACCCCCCTGTCATCCTCGCCCCCAGCTGCCCGTGGCTCCAGGGCTGTGCCAGGGCAGTGGTGGCTCCAAGTCCCCAGGTGAAGGAGTTTYAAGGCATGCCATCTCCCAGGTCTCCCAGAACTGTGCCAGGTAAGTCATCCATGCCATGACTGCCTGGCAGTGCTGGCCTCAAGGTAAGACAGCCATGCCATCCAGCGCAGTGATCCCTGCAGGGACAGGGACATAGGGGAGCCAGCTCTCCCACGGCAAGGAAATGGAAGCAGCAGCCTGGCTGCTTCCCTGGAGGGGAAGGCAATGCTGCCATGGGCTGCTCTCCCAAGCTGAACGTGACACTGTCACCACTCCCTGAACCATCCCCATCCACACCAGGATGAGTGCAGGGGCACACAGGCCTTCCCCTCCCTCCCRCCCTCACAGTACAGGAGTGGCAGGTCTCTCCAGGGAAGTGTCACCAAGAAGCTCATCCAAAGCCACACTGGGCACTGATGGAGGGGAGGAAAAGGAGTGACACAGATCATTGCCAGCGCCTTTCRACCACTGCCAGGGGAGTCAAGGCATGGGACCTGCACTGAGCTCCAGCCCAGCACACATTGAGGGCTGTGGGCACAAAGAAAGGTGTCAGCCAGAGGCCATTACTGATAGACCCCATGCCACCCAGCTCCTMAGAAAAAGGTTATACAGCAGAGGGGTGGAGTCTGTTCCAAAGGAGTCTGTAAATACAGCTTCGCCTGCCTGGCCCAGCTGGGTTCCCCTGCAGCGCTGCCTTCTGCAGCAACTCGCCCACCTCAGCCTCAAACATCTGCTTTAAACACAGCACTGGATCAATGAACGAAGGGCTGCCTGCAGGAGGGGTGCTGCTCTCCCCAGGAGATAATGTCACAAGCAGCAATCAGCATCAGCGAGCARTGCTCGCTCCAAAGCAGATCTCATTAAGTTAATGTCTATTGGAGAGAAGTAAATGATGTGACATCTCCTCCGGCAGCCTCAGATGAGCTTTCAGGGATGACAGAAAAACGTGGGGGTAAGGCTTTATTCAGCACAGTAAAGAATGGACATGTAAATAAGGTAGGGTTGTGTAACCAAGGTATGAGCTTCCCAATCCCAAAAACCACATGGCCAAAATCCAAAACCAGAACTAAAACTCTGGGATTTCTTATAGGCAAAGCCTGTCTCAGCTAAGATGCTCACTGGCTGATTCTCTTCCTGTTTTACCCTACACATCACAATAGCTTTCCCTGGGAAGAAGTGCCAGGGAATAGGCGTCACCACCCAGGTGCTGGGCCAGGAAAGGCAGAGGGAGATGATCCCTCCAGATCTCAGCCAGGCATCACTCACAGCTCAGCACTCTCTCTCAAGGGCCACCTCAGTTGATAGTGAGGACATCACTCTGGATCTCGTGGCTCAGCTGGGTCTGGAGATCGCTCAATTTCTTCTTCAGGCCGGACAGTGCGGAGAGGACGATGGTCTCGGGGCGCAGAGAACCACAGGACTCCACGTTGTAATAAAACCTGAGGTTACAAGGCAGGGGATTAAGTCACCATCTGTTCTGCAAGGAGGTACAAACCTAGAGTGCACATAGCTCCAGCCCACCCATACCCACAGAAGGGAGATCTGCCTGGAATCCCAACCATCTTCACCATCATTCACCTCCCAAGCAGGCAACAGCCAGTGCTGCCCCCTCTACAACTGTCACACCAACACTCTCAACTCCACAGGCTGCAAGAGCACTTGTGAGATCGATTTCTATTCAGCACTGTGACCTGTGAGCCAGCAGAGTCCCATGTCAGGGAGAAGGCTGGCTAAGGCACTTTTGCAGTGCAAATAACACCAGCAATCAGAGCATGAGACACACACAGGTGAATGAACACCTTGAGCCAGGGTATTTCCCCCACAGGCCTCACACTTCACTGAGTGTGCACCGCCCTACCTGGCAACACAAACTCAGGAGAACTGTCTAGTATCTCCCAGAGGGGAAAACCTGCCAGATCTGGGCATATCACCACTTAACGCCAACTCCTGCCCTGCTTTTCAGGGAATGTCAGCTCCCTGGGCTGGCAGAGTAGAGCACAGCACAGAGCAGACTCTTGTCTATTAATGAGAGCCCATGAGATGCACCCAGCCAGTCACCCCAGTGCATTCAGCTCCCTACCTCTCTGGCTTCCCGTTGGGGTCATAGGGAGCCTGAGCATCCTCGTCGTCGATCTCTGAGTACTCACTCTTGGGCCTGGAACCAGAGAGAAGGAGATGTTAGCACAGAGCCCCTGCTGTAGCCTGGCCCCACAGAACCCAGACACTCAGTTTGGCCCCTCAGAGAGCAAGACTGGGGCTCATGCCCAGCACAAAACAGGGTGGTTATCAAATATCGAGTCACAGAAAAAAGCTCAACCTCACATTGCTCTCTCTGGCTCCTCATTAATGCCACTGAGTCATCCAGCAGCACTGGAAGAAGGGGATCAGCCCTGCTTTCCAYAAACTCAGCAAGCCCTGTACTGTGGCTCCATCCATCTGCACTGGTACAATCTGGGAGGTGCTTACAGTGAAGGGATGTCGATGCCTGAAGGGACTGTGTTTATGGAGCCTGGATGCTTTTATGGAGTAATGGACCTTGGGTTATCTTTTCCTTCTCCTTCCCACTGGGCCAGGAAAGCATCAGAGTATTCCAGCACTCAAGTCTCTGAGGCCCTGTTGGCTTGGATCCAGCAGGAAAAAAAAATCTCCTGTACCTCAGAACCAGCTGCATTAGTGAGCTCCATCCTGATGTCTTGCACCTCCACTCCTCTATCAAAATCACTACAATATCGATGCATCAATTAGGCAAACCCATCTTCCTACCTGCTGCATCCTTTGGTTTATAGAGCATCACACCTGAGAGACTGTGTGGAACCACTTAATCTGTGTAAGAAAATCCAAAGCCTTGAGCTGGCTGAGAAGCCAGCACAGAAAATCCTGTACCCACCAAGGTCTCCTGCTGGCCTTCCTCTGCCCCAGCAATGCCCAGAAACACTGATCCCAGCACCGTGTAATCAGCTGCCTGAAATAAAACTGTATTTCTCAAACAAACCCTCTGCCTGTACAAACCACGGAGAAAGATGAAGTGTTAATGGAGGTGGGATTTCTTGTTATTTGCAGAATCACACATGACTGAAACAATGCAGAGGTCTCCACCACTGTGACAACTGGAGAGTCCAGTTGCATTCCAGTGCTCTGCCCAAAGCCTCAAAAAGCAACTAGCATGAAAAACTAAACCAAAAATCATAGCTGCCCTTGGACAGCAGAAGCYTTTGTCTTCAAACGGAGTCAGATGAACTTGAAAAGACAGACATATCATCAGGAACTGGCAGCTCCAGTGTCAATTCTCTTTTGGGATTTTTTTAACTTTTACATATATTCTGTCTAGAAGCTCTCACAAACTGTTCCCTGGTACCTTGTCTGTTGTAAACCATACCAGATTCCTGACCCTGCCACTCATCACTTGCTTACACGCTGCTTACAGCACCATGTCCACCACCCTGCCTAGTGCCTGCTCTCAGCCTGCCTTGCCTAAAGCACCTGATTCCTCACCACACTGCTGGCTYCAGCATACTCAGTGACAGGATGTCTGCTAGGTGATCACTGGGATACAGAGTCAGGAACAGCTCAGGTACCCACTCATGGAAAAGTGATGCTGGATAAAGTCCTCACCCAGGCCAAAGCAGGCAGCAGCTTTCCAAAATAAAATTATGTCACTTTTGGATGAGAAGCAGTGTGCGACTTGTGCAGAATGGTATGTCAGAGGAGAGTAAAGAGCCAGAGAGGGAAACCCTGCCAGAGCACAGGCTCCAGAAGTGAGGAAATGTAGGGGTTAAATCAGAGCCATACTGAGCTTCCTCAAAATCAATCTTGCAATCCAATCCTCCACTGTTTGCTCCCATAACAACTTCTACCATCTCATATGGATCTCTTCTTTCCTCAAACCTTGCAACACTTGCGCAGGGAAGAAAAAAAATCAGCAACAAGTGGTGAAAAAGGGCATGAAAACAAGGCAAACCAGCAGTGATGCTACATGAGGGAGGACAAGAGATGACCACAAACCAATCCACCTTATGTGCAGCTGCAAACAAGTGACTGACCTTGTTACCCTAACCCAGGAGTGGAGTCTGTGCAAGGGGATGTAACAGGCATGCTCCCCATCACTTACTGACCCAAATGATCCCCAGGGCTGATGTGTGAATTGCTGCCTACTGGAAAATCTTTCCCAGTCCCTGTAGACAGACAGCAGGACATACCACTCCTCTGGTTTGGGGTACACCGTGTGCCTCAGCGCGTTGTCGGGGTCATACTCAAAGGCCACACCAGCTGTTGGGTTCCACTTGGCGTGTTCCTTGCCAAAGCCTTTCTTGGCGTAGGCTCGCAGCCGCAGCTCCTGCCCCTTCCGCAGCTTCACAATCAGGATGTCTGGAAAAGCACATGCCAGTTTGAGAGGGCTGCAGAGGTGAAGTGAGTGTGCAGGATCACATTGCAGCAAAGGCAGATTTTTGGTGCCCTGGAAGATGTCACCAGGCTCCAGGGTTTGCTTGGATTTTTAGAGGGGCTCAGCTCTGTCCGAGAGCAGCTGAGTGAAAAGGAGCTGCACAGGCCCCCAAAGAACAGCCAACACCATTTTACCTCTTTGCTGTCTCTAAGCTCTCACAAGGAGAGACAGAAACACCCTTGGAGATAGGACTTTTATTTCTGAGGACAACCTGTAAGTGGCATTAAGAGAAAATGCTACCCCACTGATGCAGTGACACCAGTAGCTCAGAASTGTCAGATTTACAGGTGCCTTATGGCTGCAGAGCTAGTAAAGGAAGAATGAGTTCAAAGAACCAGAAAGAAAAGTTAATTTCCTCCTCCAGTTCTTATTCCCAGTGACCCACCACTCACCATCCTGCTCCACATAGTCATTGGGGTCGTTGTCTCTGCTCCGAGATGTCACCTGCAGCAGCAGAACAAAACCAAGCAAATTAATGACAAGATCAGCTTGGATGAGTGCTCCAGCCCAGCACAGCACATCTGCTTGGTTCCCAGAATCACTCCCACAACTGCTGTAGATGACACACAGCCCTCAGAGCACCTCAGCCAAAGGCAAGTGACAGCAGGCTCCAGCTGAGCTTTACCCAGGCAGATACTGTCACCAAGCAGCAGGAGCAGCCCCAGGTTGTGGTGACATCTGGATGCACCTCCACAGTGWATTACAACATTCTCTCTAAGTCCCTTTGCATCTGTCCCAATCTGGCTCCACCAATCCTCGTCAAGATGAATGCACAGGAGCTGTTTGGCAGCAGTGCCCTGGCCCCCAGAGAGTCCTCACTCTCTGCCATGCTGAGAGCCAAGAACAAACAAGGCAGAGGCCTTGGGTCACTGTCATGRGGCAGCCAAGGAACTTGGGATGAGGGGTGCAGGATGAGGCCACACTGCTTTGCACTCCATCAGACAGCAAGTGAAGGACAACACGGCAGAGACAAGGGGGCACTGGCACACACACTGCTTCTGCAGCAATTCCCACTGCTCTCCCACTACAGTGAGCACATAAAACATGCTCAAAGSCCTTGCTCTGTCTACATCCCATGYRTTTGCTGCCCTGCCTCAGCAGGAAYGCAGAGCAGGATGAGCAGTGGRTGGCACTGACCGGAATGACGCGGGGGTTGTTGGAGATGAGGTCGCGGGATGTGACGTGCCGAGTCTGGTCCTCATTGCAGCGAACATCCAGTGTGAACTCCACGGAGCACTCCGGGCAGAACTCATCACATGTGCAGTCCTGGGACACACACAAAGGCTCTTTATGCAAGAAACTGCCAATGCTTCCCATTAGATCAAACACCCACCACCGTCAAAATAACTCCCCACAGCATTAGGCTTAACTCACTCTGGAATATTGCATCTTATCCACAATGTCATCRCTGGTGAGTGGGATGAGACCTGTGGGGAGAAGGAAATCAGAGGAATGTCYGAGTGAGACAAGAACCCCTAACTCTCCTACCAAGAGAGGTGGAGGAACAGCACTTGACAAAGGTGCTTCACCACGGCTGGACTGATTTCACCCACAACCCAACCTTCCTCCCCACCCCAGCACTCACCCAGCCTGTGAGCAATGAATTCATCGTGGAGCACRGAGGAGTTGGCATCTATCTGAACCCAGTCAATGGCTGCAGAGAAGAGAAATACTCACATGGGGAAAAGCCAGCTAGCGGAGGGCACAGAAAACACTACAGAGACTGCAGAGACACACTGAGGCAGCATCTGCAGGGCACAGTACTGGCTGAACACGGGAAACGAGAACCAAAAGCAGCGGGAAGGTGTGGGAGAACACGGAAAGTGATGGGAGCCACATGGAGGGCAGCCCTAAAGACTGTGACCACAGGCAAAGGGCCTCACCTATGATGGGGACTTCTGCGATGAACACTCTTCGAATGGAATTTGCCACTCTGCGGAGGGAAACATCTGTGTTTAGGCATGAGGGAGCGTTCGACTGCGGGCCCACACGCACGCCGGCCGAGGCTGCTGCGGGGCTTTGCTTCAGAGACCCTGCCGGGCCGGGGGGAGGTCGGGCATGTGGGGCCGCCCCCGGGGCCTCCCGCGGCCGCTTCACCCCCGGGCCCGCCCGCCCCGGCCCGGCCCCGCGGCGGTGCTCACGCCAGGTCCGTGTTCTCGATGATGAACTTGACGTTCTCGTCCGTCAGCTCGGTGATGCGCACGGTGGGCTGGTTGGCGTACGGCATGGCCGCCCCGCCCCGCTCCGGGCCCCGCTCCCGCTCCCGMTCCCGATCCCGRYCCCGATCCCGAYCCCGCCGCCCGCAGCGCCCGCCCGGTCCGTCCCCGCCCCGCTCCCCCCGGCCCCGGTGCGCCCGCAAAAACAGTCCGTGCCAGGCAGAGTACGACTTTATTGGTGCCGGGGAAGGGCCGGCCGCTCCGGTGCTCGCCGCCGCTGCCGCCTCACCGGCGCTGGTTCAGCCCCGCCAGGTTCTTGATCTGTGGGCACAGGGAGAACGGGGTTTAGTGCCGCTGCCCCGGGGTCGAGAGGCATCCCTGTAGTCTCGGCACAGACAGGGATCAATCTGGATCGAGCTCCGGCCACCCTCAGGCCGGAACCGGCTCTCCCGGTCAGCAGGTTTCAGCTTGGGTTTATTTCTGCGGCCACGCAGACCCCGAYAGTAAATTTATGCTTTTTGGCATTCAGCTGGCTCGTCTATTTTGCAGAAACCTGCAGAACTCAGCACTTTTGTAAAGGAGCACACTGAGCACACTTGGACAGTGCTACCCTCGGGACACCCTGGACATGGGAGGTTCGGAATGTGTTCCCCTAAGAGTTGTGTATTGGGATTGTGTCCTAAAGCCATCTGACTGCAACCCATCCCCCTTCAGAACCCATCCAGTTCCTCCCTTTTATCTGTACAGTGGATCTGCTGCAGGGACAGACCAAACATTGGCAAACCAAACACTGAACTGTCCTGATACAAGGAAAATGTATTTCTCATAACAAGGAAATCACTTTGTTGCTAAATGCAAYGAGAGTTGTCCAAAAATAGAATCACAGTGAGGCCCTGAAGCCCTTCAAAAGTCACTCCTGGGTACACAAAGGGCTATTTTGTATCCCAGAGGAAGTGCAGTTCCCTCTGCAYGGACACAAAGCAGTCCAGGACACCACCAAACAGTGAGTGAATTCTTGGAAGGACACTGAGGTCAAATGAAACAGCTTGAGGAAGTCACCCTGCTGTGGTTCAGGACGGGTGCCACCTCCAGGTATCCATGAGGCCACTAACCCTGTCAAGATTTCCAGCCCAGGGCCTGGCAGAGGGAGAGATCTTGTGACAAACAATGGAGAATAGTGATCACCTGTCTCTCATCCCTAAAGCTCACCCTGCAGCTTCAGATTATGCTCCAAGTTCTTTCACCACAAAACAGTGAACTAACCTCCAAGCTACATAAGAAATCACCTTTAAATAAACCTAAGTTATGAAAGACGATTGCTTTTCATGTTGTCCTCTAGATTTGGGAAGAAAACACATGCTGACATTCAGCTTGGACAAAATTCTGCTCTCACAGCCCTGCTGGTTTCAGCATTACTTACAGTAACTGCAGCTCCCATCAGGCCCTGGACAACAGCTTCTCCAGTGGATTGTACCTGGGAGATACAGGGAGAACACGACCTTTTGCTTTCTGCAGTTGCCCCCAAACACAGATATGGAAGGCACAACAAACATGTATTTGCTACAGAAAGGTGCTGACAGCACTGCAAACAAATGACAGCCACAGACAGGACACATGGCAGGGGTTTCCTGGGATGCATCCTAACCATTGGGACAGTCTGACAAAGAGGSCACCTATGTCATTTTACTAAAAAACACATAATCATTTATTGATTTTGAACCAACAGCAACAAGGGAGTCTCTCAACAGATGTGGGACCAGTGTGATGGAAAAGCCAGGTATGGTGACATTTATCCTTGGGGAGGAGGGATTTGCTGCACACATACTTGTCCCTCACGTTACCTGACTGGCTGTATTGCTCATGGTCATGGCATCAGCCACTCTGTTCTCCAGGAAACGCCAAGTGTCCTCAAAATCAGGGGACGAGTCCTGCATCATCACCAGCTCAGTGGTGTTGTAGATGCCAGTGAGCACAGCCCGGCGAGTGTACCAGTTGAACTGCAGGGGCATGAGGGGAGAGAGGCAAAGCTGTGATCTGAATGTGCATCAAGAGTGCAGCTACCAGAGAACAGCAAAGGAAATCATGCACYCAGGGCACATTCTTTCCCCATATAGGGAAGTTGCTATTTGCAGCTGGATCTCTCAGGGCCTGAGACAAAACTCTTTCTTCCTGCTCCTAAAAACCCACCTGAAGGGGTCTCTGAGCCATGAGGATACTCTGCCTGGCTCCTGGTATTGGGAAGAGGGATCTGCTGCAAGTGACTTCAAACCCCCTTACTGGAAGAGGGAGCAGGCTCAGCATCACCACACCTTCCCCAGAAAACTCATATAACCAGTCAGAAGGTGTGAACAAAGCACCAACTTTAGAACCTCTCCTAATCCCTGCATCAGTGAGACTTTAGCAACAGCTCAGYGCAGACACTGGCTCCAACATGTTGATTTGACTTTCATAAACCATAAGGGACTTTCAGTTCCTGAAGCAATTGTGTTCTTTCAGTTGTCTTCTGGTTTATTCCTTTAATTTTTCTGCCATCTTATTTATTTTTCACTGCAGTAGCTTCTCTTTTATACACAGATAAAAGAAGCTTATTAAAGTWGTTTGTTAAAATGGTTCATTTAGCTTTTTCCATCTCTCCCTACATCTATAAGAATTAAAGTAATTTATTAATTGCTGTAATTAAGGTTATAATTTTCTTTTATTTCCTGCCAGAAAGATGAAAGCTTTAATAAGCTACTGGTATTTTTAGGCAGGTTCTTTAAAGGTTTTCAAGTCAAGTCTGTAAATGCTACTGTTGGTGGAAGAGACCYACTGCTCACTCACTGAAAACTGGATCAACTTCTTAGTCTCAAAATTTCAACAACTYTGTCTGTATCTTCAAAAAGAAAAAAAAARAGCACTTAAGAGCCTAGGAAAGTMGGTCCTTTTAATTTGCACTRATCCCACTGGCACTAATTTGCATTTAGTCTCAGTGGCTCTTAAGTCCCTTTAGATATTAGTTTATAAGGACCTTTGGGTGCCTCTGAAATGTTTTCATCACTCAGCAAATGGGCTGTTTGTAGAGAGATGTGGCCCCACTCCTACTTGAACCCCTGATTTTGCTGAAGTGCCGAGGGGTAGAACCAGCCCATCTCTGAAGCACAAGGACTCACATCTGTGGACTGGTCCCCAGCATAATGCCAGATATCATCGATCATGCTGGTGAGGAGGGTGAGGCCAGAGGGGATGTTACGTGGGAGTAACAGGATACTCAGGGCCTGCAAAGAAACACACACAGAAACGTGAGTCAAAGAGAGAAGGATGAGTTACTAAAGCAGACCAACAGTGCTCTGCTATCTTTTTACCCTGCTGCTGCTGACTTGATTCCAGCTCCCAGTGAGAAGTCCTCCCAGCTCTCTGCAGTCTTTACAAGCAACAGGACGTGCAGGGAACACAATGTAGCAGGCAAGTTCAGGCCTCAGCCCATACTGGAGCTGAAACATCTCTGCTCAATTCAACCACCCCTGTGTTGTCTCTCCTGAGCTGCCTCTCTGGCATGGAAACATCAGAGGCTGAGCTGACTCACCCTGTGGTGTGCCCCTGTGGGCAGGGAGTCACATCCCTCATTTCTCTGAATTTGACTTTGAACTCAGAGCGGCAACCAAGGGCAGAACAGTGCCAGCCATAATGGYCCTTCTGGGATCCTGCAGCCTTTGAACATAATCACACAATGCCAGGAGAATCACAAACCACCCATCTCCTTCACAAGGCAAGTTATGCTAATYTGGAGCAAGAACATGAAGCCTGTACTCTTTCTCTTTGCACAGAGTGATGGATTCAGCTGCCCAGAGGCCAGCAGTRGTTCTGGACAGAGGCTGACCTGGCAGCAATCCTTGCAGCCCAAGATTAGGAATGATTTGCTTGTTACTGTGGCCACAATTCAATTCCCTGTCCACCCTGGGAAGAATGGCTTGAGAGTTAAATCTGAATTTAGAAGCATGAAGCCCTCTCAGTTCACAGCCCTACCCTCAGGTTGCCAAGGGTTTGTCAGTCCCACACTTGAAGGATGGTTTCCTGTACAAAGCAGTTCTGCATTTCCAGCAGTCAGGTGATCCCAGGGCAGGCACAACAATGCTGCACGGAGCCTGACTTGCAGTGACAGTGCAAATAGGACTGAGCAGAGACACAGGTTATTCCCTGGGGATGCCATATGGGTGGAGTGAACAACAGAGAGCTTTGTCTTTCTGGAACTGCGAGAAATAGTTGCTCTAAGGTTGCTCTCCTCTTGAAGGCTATTAATTATTTGAAACCAGCCAAGGTTTCATTTACAACCTTGAGCTAATCTGGTGGAAAGACTATGTTGAAAGTTAAAGGGTGTTTAAAATACACACACGCAAAGGAGACAATGTTTATATTACTTTTATACCTGGGGCCATTTCTCAATATATGGAATCAGCATCCTCAGTCTGGCTTCCACAGCATCTCTCAGGAATTCATCTATAGGCTTCTTCCTGGGTAAGGAGAAGAAAAATTAAGAAGAACATCCAAGTTAAACTCATTTCTGAAATTGTAAGATCAATCTCCACCTGGCTCAGCACAGAAAAGCAAAGTATATTTCCTTCATGCCTTTGGTCCTAGTCTGTATCTGGGAACACAGTTTTAATTCGAAGTATGTGTGTCCCAGGTGGCCTCTCTGTCTACCCAGTTCCCAAAATCTGCCAAGCAAGACATTTGCTCACACTCAATACTCACYCTGCTTCACCCAGCTGCACTAGTTTTTGTTCCTTCTCCAGCTGCTTAGACAGCTTGGCGTTGCACTCAGACACAAAGTGCAGGATCAGTTCACTGCCATCACTGTGAAACATCCCTGCTGCAGCAACAGAGAGGCCCAGTGTCTGTAGAAAAAAAGGGAGAAGCACAAACCAGGTCAGACACTGCTAAGCAGGATCTAGCTAGAATAAAAGTTATATTTACTCTGTGAAAAACATTATGTGAATTTAAACAAAGCAATGCTGCAGTAAAAAGCACTTCCTGTATATGTTTTCCTCTCTTTAGGGTTCACAACTCTACAATGTGCCTTAGTGTGACTCTGAAGGGGTGATCCTGGAGCAGCTGGGTTTCATTCCTGCCCAGTAGCATTTGCTGACTAGGGTGCATCGCCCAAGAGTATGTGGGGGAAGCATGCAGGCCTGGCTGTCCCTGCACTTCAACTCCATCCAGTTTCCAACTGGTTTGTTGCTTCTCTCCCCACATACCTTGGCTCCCTCTGCAATGGCCTCTGCAGTCCAGCCATGTTCAGGCACAAACTCCAGCGCCGCTGTGAGGATTCGATGCTGCAGCTGCTCCTCGCTCTCATAGTCCTCAGACTCCTGGCCGCCCTGGCCAGTGTAACTATGAGAAGGTATTGGTACAGTGAGGGGAACGTCACCAGCAAACATCAGAACCCTGGACTCTGCCACTCACTCRCTGACACCAGGCACATTTTGAGACCTGCTCTGTATAAATCTGGCCTCCTCCAGTAAAATCCTAACCTATCCAGAAAAATAATTCTTAATGAACCTTTGCTATGAGAAAAAATAAGGGAAGGAAGGCTCATTGTAGATGCCTACACAGACACCAATCAGCCCCCTATTCGCCCTCCTTTACAGAAAATTATACTATAACCTTTTCCAACATGGTCTTTATACTACAGACAAATGGACAACATATTGTCCATATTTTTCTAGTTTTACACAAAATCTAGAAGCTAAGACTTGCGCTTTGCAGACAAGAGAGGTTCCTTCTTGAAAATAAGTCCCATCCTATCTTCACAGTGGACGGTGGAATTTGCACTGTCACAGCAAACCAGCTCTCCAGCTGCTGAACTCTGGGGCTCCTTAACTCTGGATCTCGTTGTCTCTGAGTTTCAGATGCGAGTTTCAGGAAAGCAAAAGCAGTCCAATCCCTCTGTCGGCAGGACAGTACTACAAAGAGCTGCTGAGTTACCTGGGGCGAGGGCCCTGAGGTTCCTGTTCAGGCTGGTGACCAGCTGGAGGTGAATCAAAGTGCTGCTGAGTGGAAGATGTGAACGGTTCCTTCTTGTGCTCATCAGAAACTCTCCYGAGCACAGCCGAGGCCTGGAGAGCACGGAGTGGTGGATAGTGCTGGCACCTGAGCGCTGCAAAGCAAACCAAGAGTCAGCAATTCCTTCCAAAGACAAGAAACACAGAAAATTAAGGTGCAGAGTTGTGGTGAACACAGCTGAACAGAACAGAAATTCGTAGTATAATTTTTGATGCTTCTGACAAGTGCTGCTCTCAGCTGAGCTCATGTGAATAAAGAAAAAATGTTTTGTGAGGGAAAGAACAGCGCAAATGGCACATATTGCAAATAGTTTCCCAGTCTTGGACTGGAGACCAGGCAGCCAAACATGCCCTGTGCCCATTTTGGCCCTGATTAAGGAATTAGGAGGAAGGCGCTGACCCCCGTGCTCGGGAGAAGAGGCAAGTCCTGTTCGGGAGCTGAATAACCCTGATGGACACAGCACGCTAATCACTGAGCGATGACCGAACACTGGGGGAGCTTTTAACTTAACTGTTGGGTTTTGGGCTTTTTTTGTTTGCTTTTTTTTTAATAAATAGCGTTGCACGGCCCACGCTTCGCACCCACTCGTTCAAACCCAACCGCCCGGCGCCGGTCCGGTGCCCTCACACCCCTCGTGCCCTTCACCTCACCTTGCCCCGCCCCGCCCGCCGGGGGGCGCGCACGGGAGCGCGCACGGGAGCGCGCACGGGGAGCGCGGAGCGGGAGCGCGCACCGGGAACGCGCAGAACGGGAGCGCGCACTGAGGGAGCGCAGCGCCCGGAGCGCCCGGCCCGGCGCGGCCCCGCCACAGCCGCCAGCCCGCGCGCCGCAGCCCGCCCGCCGCCGCCATCTTGGAAGCGGGCAGGGCGCGATGACGTCACGGTGACGGCGTCAGGCCGGGACGGGCGGCGGAGGCGAGCGGTACCGAGTGAGGGGAGGTGAGCGCGGAGCGGCGCGGGGTGGACGCGGGGCGGGCCGGTCTGCTTTCTTTCCCTTAAAAATCTTTTCTGAGAACTCGCCTGAAGCGGTTCGGGGGCTCTGTGTGTGCGTAAGTAACTCCTTCACGAAATTCCTTCACGTTGCCTGTCTTTGCTCCCTCTAAACCGTCCCTGCTCGGTAACCGAGAGGTTTATTCCACCCGTTCTACACGTGCTTAAAAGGCGCACCTGCTGTAGGGCCCGCGGCCTTGCGCCGTGTCCCGGCCACTGGAAGCTGCAGCATTCATTCCCAGCCGCTGGAAGTGGCAGTGCTGCGTCAGGAGGCTGCAGTTTACAACCCTGCAATGGTTTGGGTTAGAAGGGATCGTCACGATCATCCCAGTCCAAAACGGCAGGTTTCTAATCTACYGGAGAGGAGCCTGCGGTATTGTTTAACCGTTTTCCTGTTAAATGTGTGTGACATGGAGATAAGGGCCTCTCTTCACATCATCCGCAGGGGATCCAGCCCTCGGCCTCCTCCTCTCAGGGCTCTGAAGGTGCTGTTGCTGTTGATGCAGTTTGGGTCTGATCTTGAAAGGTCACAGCCTGCTCTTCGGAGGGGAAGGTGTRACTTCGGGTTTATCTTCCCACCTTAGCCTAACATCTTGCATATCTAAACTGAGATTAGATTGAGATTTTCAAAAATCGAGATTTTCAGYYTTCTTCTTGGGAAAGGTGACTTTTYRTGGGATTAATACGTGTGTTTACGAGTGTTAATGTCTGCTGTAGCTTGTGTTGTTTTGTGTCACGCATGCAGAGCCAGCTGTGAGGTGCTACAGCCTGGATGGTACATCCCAGATGTACATTCCCTACCTGGTTAGCATTGTGGTTGTTTTAGTGTAAATTTCTGTTGGAGTAGCTCAGACAAGGCACAGTTGTGCCATTCTGAACTTGTTTGTAGTTTCCAGGAGAGAGGGGGAGTCCATAGCACATAAAGCCAGAGGAGCTGTGGGTCACAATCCACTCCCCACCTGATTGCTGTTAAATTTGGTACAGCATATTCATGAACTGTGCTTTGTGACAGCGTGGTGGCAATAAGGCATTACCCAGGATGTGTGATAAACGGATTCCTGGTGAAGACCTTGCTTMAAGCTGTCTCTCCTGAAGTAGGTGTATGGTTTTGCAGTTAATTGAAGATACAGCAGGCAACTGGTCCCCAGTGCTCTCTGTTCTCCATGGTTGTGTAAAATTAGAAAGAAAATAGGTTTTTGTTGGATAGAGGAAAGAGTCATTGGGTTCAGTAGCTGGTGCTGCTATGAGAACAGGTGATGATGGGATATTATTGCTTCACAAGGAATACAATCTCATATAAGATATTAGTGAAGACAGCTTTCTCAAAATGGTCACTTCACGTTCTGTTCCACTTTTCCCTCCCTGTAATTTGCTCAGCCGGTGCCACCAATCATAACGGTGGGAAGAGCCTCAATCTGGAATGCTGGGAATGCTGAAAGTTACTTTTTCCTTCTCATGTACTGTGTAAGCAAACTGCTAGGTTGTGTTTGGAGTAGGAGAGACAAGGTGATGTGTAATGTCAAATAGCTGTCACTGCTCAGGAAATCCAGAAATTCTGTGTTTATCTTACTCAGATTTTTAAGGAAAGCAGGTAAGTTTCTTTGTTTTGTTGGTTTCYTTAACTGGAGAGAAACTGAATTATGCCCTTAAGTATAGCTCTTTCTTCATGTCCTGCTTGTGGGAACTTCATGCTGTCCACCTCCAGAAAATTACCCCCATTTATTAAACTCAACTCAACTGGTTAAGTGCACAGAGGTTCATGCTGTGCTCAGCACTTACCCTTTCTCTCTCTCTCCTGCCCTGTTCCTCTCCCAGCCACTGCCAGGTTTGCTGCTGCTGCTGAAATGGGGGAGTACGGAGTCGCTCCAGGCCAGCGTGTAGCCATCGTCTGGGACAGCTCCTCGCCGGTCGAAGCTCTGAAAGATTTGGTGGATAAAGTCCAGGAGCTGGTGGGAGCTGATAATCGTGTCTCTGTGGAAAACGTTAACCAGCTGCCTCAGTGTAAGAATGAGCTTAATTTYTCACTGTTTCRTTAAAAGGGGGAGGGTTCTGCTACYGTGTGAGCAGACACCTTCCTGCTTTGGGAATCAGCACTGAGAGTCTGCTGCTGACTCTTACCCTGGGAAGTACACCAAGGGAAGTGATGCACCCTGGCTGTGCTTGTCTGATTGGTGTCTTTAATCAGTTATTGATGTGGTACTCCAGCATCCGGGATGAGGGAGGTAGAACTGGTGTTTTAAGCTGTGTGTGTACATGTGTAAAATTGTACCATCTTCCCCTTTCCTCCCAGCGGCTCACAAGGAGTCCAGTTTCGATGTAATCCTCTCTGGCATGGTACCAGGCAGTACAGCACAGCACAGTGTGGAGCTCCTGGCAGAAGTTGCTCGGATACTTAAACCAGGGGGCCGTGTCCTCCTGAAAGAACCAGTGGTTACAGAATCAGGTGAGAGAATCTTGCTTCCATAGCAACGTAGCAGTTCTCGTGAGGATTATGCTGAAATAGAAAGGACAGGAACCCCAATCAACGTTCAGAGATCTTTGTTCTCCTGACACACTAACCCAAATCACAAGGTTTTTATCCTGTGCTTAAGCTGGTATCCCTCAGAGACATTTGCAGTCACACTGCTTCTATCAAAAATGCTGGATAGGCTCATTCCTAAACTACACTGAAAAGCTTCAGTGATCGCTGTTTTCTCCTCAGGATGCAATGTTAAGTAGTTGCAGATGTTAYGTTGGAGCTCTTTGGAGCTTCCAAAGTGATTTTAAAAACAGGTGACATGCTGAAGAGATTGCCCCAGAAGCCAGTCGAGAAATAGTTATCCATGAAAGGCTAGAATTCTTTGGACTGAGTTTTAAGAGAAAAGCCTGAGCCTGCTTTGGGGGACAGCTGGAGGAGCCATGAGAAGGTGAACACAATATGATTTCTCAATGTAGTCTGTTCATTTAGGAGCGAGCCCATGTTTTSAAAACTTCATGAGTAGTTCACTTTAATAGGTAAAAATGTTTGGGARGGAGTTGGTTTGGGTTTTGAGGGTTTTAAATTTTTTTTTGATGCGTGTTGATTGGGTTGAAAAAATTTTTGGCATATAGAACATACTTGGAGTTAGAACGGTTGTGTGACCCCAGGCTGTTATTTTAATGAACAAGCTGCTGATGTTTTTCCTGGTTTGTTCCTGCTGTCAACTAGAAAGGGCCAAATTTTAGAGCAGTTTTGGCTTGAGTACTTGCCTCTAAAGTTTTTGCTCTTCCAGGTTTCTTGGTCAAGTGTATTGTTCTTGCCTAYTCCTACTCTCTGTTTTTGTGTCTTGCAGGAAACAATGGCAAAATCAAGACAGCAGCCAAACTCCTCACAACTCTGACTCTCTCTGGGTTGGTGGAAGTGAAGGAGGTAGGGACTTGTTCACCATTTCCAGAAATGCCCTCAGGCAGTTATCTGGGGATTTGCTGGGTGTTGAGGTTTGGCTACCTGGTTTGCTGTAAATGTGCACRGCCACTACCAGGCACAAACTTTAGCTACTGTGTGTGTAGTGTTTTTCTTAGGATTGAAAATACTGATTATCTGTTAATTGGAATGCTGGGSTGGGTGCTGAAATAAGGAATTCTGCCTGAGGGGGTTTGGTTTTAATCTAAAATCTTACTTTGTAGCTGCAAAAGAAAGCRCTGACCCCAGAGGAGGCCCAGTCTGCCACAGAACATCTGGGTTACCAAGGCAATGACCTTCTCATTATTCAGATAGAAGGCAGGAAGCCCAATTTTGAAGTGGGATCATCAAGTCAGCTCAAACTTTCCTTTGCCAAGACACCAGGTAAGGAATTTCTGAATGTCTGGATTTTCTGGCTCTCCGTGACAGGCATCACTTGGAACAGGAAACAGTTCCCWGGCAGGGAAGTGCTATAGTAAAAACTTATGAAGTAGGGCTTTCCACAGTTGCTWAAACTCAATTTGTTGAGAGTAGAAGGGGCTAAGGCTGGAATAACTGCAATTTCTTCCTTTATTTTGGCTCCAGCAAAAGCCTCTGTGGACCCAACTGCTGCAAAGCTGTGGACACTCTCTGCCAAAGATATGAATGATGAAGAGATGGTAAGTGGTTTTCTTTGTGAGGCTTTGCTGTTCCTTTTCTCTCCCTGTTCTTTCCTRTTCTAAATACTTTCAGTCATACCTCTTGGCAAGCTTTACAACTTCAGAGGTAGGGAAGCCTCCCTAAGGCAAAGCATCTCATTTGCTYCATGGGGTCTGGAGAGCTCACTGATGTGGTGGGGACAGACAGGATACAGGGATGAGAGGACACAGCTGCAGCACTTCAGTGCCAGTRTACAGATAGCACCATTTCTTTGAACATAACTGGGCAGTGTCATTCCCTACTGACAAGTTCATTTCCTGCATTTGTCTCCCTTGGTGTGTTTTCAGGATCTTTTGGACTCTGATGAGCTGTTGGATTCAGAGGATTTGAAAAAGCCAGACCCATCGTCCCTCAGAGCTCCATCCTGCAAAGAACTGGGCAAAAAGAAAGCCTGCAAGAACTGGTCAGTGCTGGAGTTCATGTATTGGGTGAACCTTTTAACTACATCATTAAACACTTCAGAGTGGGAGGGATGTAAAAAAGATTGTAGGCAATTTGCTGTTCTTCAGAGTCTAATTATCTTGGTTCMTGTCCTTCATCTTAATTATTAGAATGTAAATCCAAATACAAAGAGAATTGACCTGTGACTGATACAAATTACCAGAATGGTGTATATTATCAACAGCCATCTTGAAGGTGGCTAAATAGCTTGTGCAGCTTGCCTAAAACTCTGATTTCTCAWGTTCCAAGGAGAAACAGCACMTGTAGCAAGTGCTGCAGTGTCATTTCCCACTCAGTTTAAACTTGAGGAGTGTTTCAACACTTRTTATACAACTGTGGTGTTGAAGAACAAAGTGAGAAGCATGAGTCCCAGAGTCAGCTGGGTCAGAGCCGAGTGTGTGACAGAGTGAGAGCTGGCACAAGTGTTGATGACTGATGACCTTTAAGCAGAATGATGCASGTGACTTCTTTGTTTATCTGCAGCACATGTGGCCTGGCTGAAGAACTGGAACAGGAGAAGAARAGCTCACAGCCCAAATCTGCCTGTGGAAATGTAATTAGTAATTTTTGTCTCTATACTATGGTTTGCAGTATATGATCTCTGTATAAGAATTGTGTTCTCTAGTGACTGCTGCCTGAGCTGGATCACTGCTTCCACACACTGCCTGTGCAGCTTCTGCAGAGCTGCAGCCTTTGCCCTGTGCCCACGTGCTCTGAACCAGCACATGCCATCTGTTGTGACTCCCCAGGGGAATCAGAGTGAGCAGTGAGCCTTTCCTTCCCTGCTCACAGGCTAAACAGGGATCTGATCTACTCAGAGAGATTTGCCTTGTGGGAGCTCAGGGGGCTGCCCCAGCCTGGGGGACACCAGGTGGGGACTCATTTCTRTGTGAGCCCAATGCCTGCACAGCTCTGCTATCTGCATTAACCAGATGTGTTGAGAAGGGGGTAGAAGGGAAGCAGTTTCTGTGYTCATAGATRGGGASGAGCATGACATCTCGTGAGCTGGAGAAAGCATACCACAKGGGAAGAAAGCTGAAAGTGGCACCTGATTACARACAGTGCTTTTCTTTCCCTTGCCAGTGTTACCTGGGTGATGCATTCCGCTGTGCCAGCTGCCCTTACCTGGGGATGCCTGCCTTCAAGCCTGGRGAGAAGATTCTCCTGCAAGAGAACCAGCTGCATGATGCTTAACAAAGACGTGTCCTGCCAAGGACTCTGCTGCTTTTCTGTCACTCTGAGGTTCTTCCTGCAGTCCTCATCCTCTCAAACTTATGCTCTCCAGCCAATACTCCACGTGGGGAGGGACAGTGCAGGCACTGACACTGCTGTGAGCTCACCACTTGTCATTAGCCTTGGGCTACCTGATCCTTTGGTGACAAGTCACGTATCAGACTTCATGTTACACCTTGTTTTGGCTGACCTGACTTGATCCTGGRCGCTGGCCGTCACAGCGTGTCCCACCAGCAGAGGGAAGTACAATCACGTGTCAGGCTGTCCTTGTGTGCCTGTGGCATTTCCCATGCCCGTGTCCTTCAGCTCTAACTAGTCCTGATTTTCCGTGGTGAATCAGCAGCTCTGGCTCATCCTCCGGGGTGACTAGGCTCCTGCTCTCTTTGAAATTTGAACCTGCAGCCCCTTACCACATGAAGGTGGCTCAGCAGCTTCTGTGCAAGTCAGGAGCAGAGAGTACCCTTAGCAGTATGTACTCTTAGCAATGTGCATGATCTTCTTGAGAAAGGCTGGCAGGCATGATGAATTTCCAAGTGTTTTGGGAGCCCCTACCCCCACCTGTTTCCAGCAAAATGACAAAGATTCAGTCCCACCAAAAACTCCTGCCTTTAAGGKAGGGAATGGATGAAACAAGATCTGTCCTGTCTTCCCACAGCTTTCAGTCCAACACAGATTGATAACACAAGGGCAATCTGAGACTCTCACCTCTCTTGGTGGTTACTCAAGTGAGTTACCTGCAGTGTCAAATGCATAAAAACATAGCAATAACTTAATTTCTAGATGATCTGTGGTCGCCATCTGCTCCCTCTCCATGAGATACTATTTATTTGTGTAGTTACTGCTCGTGTAGCATCCTGCTGGTGTGGGATGAGGGTGCTGTTCACATTTTGTGCCGGGCTTGCTTCTCACCCAGGGAGGGAGAGGAGGAAAGCCCACAGCCAGTGTCTCAGTGGGGATTGCTTTGTTTGGAGCTCTTGCTCTATGGGATGTGACTGCTTGTTGTGTGCTACCTGAGTTATTAAACTCATGGAGGGGGCTGGGATGAAAGGCTGTTCTGTTCTTGAAATAAAAGTGACCAATAGTAAAGCCTTTGTTTTAAGGCTGGTATTAGTGGCATTCTAAGTGTGTCTCTCCTTCTACTTGGTGTCTCCTCGATTTCTTAAACTGTTCAAATGTTAGGTTGCATCATGGAGATCTCCATAAAGTGTTCCTCTGAAAACTTGAATATTTGATATGCACTGGAAAGAACAGGTTAAGGACTAAGGAAAACTTAAAACAGCCTTTCTGACTGCTCAGATACCGCTCTGGGAATCACACTTGCACTGCCCCAAGCTGTCACTACTTAACTGCTTGTGATAGCATTGTTTTGAGAAGTGAAATATGGAGGTTCAGCTTTGGCTGTAGCTGCTTCACCTTTTTAAAAATAGCCAGATGGGCAAAGATGCTGCCTCCCACCCTTCCTGCCTTTGCTGGAGAGGTTGCCTCAGCGTGTCCCTCCAGCAGCCCTGGCTGCCTTTCTCCACCTCTTGCTCACTCATGTAGCTCCAAGGTTATTTCACAGCTTCTTGCCTGGTTTCCTGTTAAAATGGTATCCCAGATCTGATTTCCCACTAGTCTTGAGCCTACAGGAGGATGGAAATGCAGCACTATGAACATCCCAGTTTTCTCCATTTCATTAATCAATAACTTTACCTGGTGAAGCAATGAGCCACACTTTTCCTGCCACTTCTTTTCAAGGCAGTTAAACAAATGCAGAGCCTTTGACAGCCCTTGGTAGACTYAATTCAATTTGTACCTCAGCTTTCTGACTTTGCCTCTTTGCACTTTAGTGAGCATGTCATTCTACACATGTCCTCTGTGGTTTTCCTTTTCCTCATGACCTTCTATTTTGACGAGTGGGATTCTGAAGAACTCTGCAGCTATATTTGCCTCCTCTGAAATTTCCCCGCTTCCCTCAGCAAGRGGTAACTGGCTACCAAGTACAAGTCTCAGGTGTCCAGCTCTTTCTGAATTCATGAGCAGTCTGTCCTTCTTAGTTGAAGGTTTTTAAAACTCTTTTCTCCTTAAAATAACAACATCAGTCATTTCATGCTACAGACACATGTGCTGATCCAGCCTAAGGACCATCCAGCCTGGCTATAGAGAATCATGGGATCCTTTCAGGTCAGAAAAAAAAATCCAGCAGTGACCCCAGCACTGCCAAGCTCGTGCATGTGTCTGTGTCACTGGTAGCAATGTTGATGGGGCATTGAATGGAACTTGGTCATGCAGGTGCTGCTGATGTCGTGGCTGGCAGAGGAGCTGATGAGGCAGCAGCTTCTTCCCCCTCTTTGATAACACTCCTGGGTTTTATACTCACCAGTTCAAATAATGGTTGGACATCTGCCCAACTTGGATTGCATGCTCTAAGAATAACCCAGTAGATCTGGTCTGCCTTTTTGAAGTCATCTCTGAATCAGCATCTATTGTGGCTGTAACACTAAATCATTAGGGCAATGTGTTGGTTTCAAACCCAGCAGGAAAATTAACTCAAGTTGCCCATCCTCCCCCATCCCCTTCCAACAGGAGAGGGAAGACCAGGAGAGACCACAAGTGGGAATCATAATTTTACTAAAAAACTGACAATAAATGAAACAGTATCAATAAAAGAGGGCACAAAAGAGAGTGCTCTCCCCACAAGAAGGGTATTCACCACCAAACCACCTAGCCACTGCCATACAAAGCAAATCACTGCAGCAGCACCTCTATGATGCAAGCAATGCTTTTCCATCCTTATCTCTCAAGTAAGTGAACCAGAGCAAAGTCAACCCACATCACAGCAGGTGCCTGCTCCAGGGAAAATCCAGAAAATTGTTCTACAGTTTCTCATAGCCATGCCACCTAGCATGTCCAGGACCAAGCTCTTCCTGGACACTGTGTTGGCCACAGAGTGTACAGTGTCACTCCTGAAACACCAAGCAAGTAGCTAGAGGAGCTTGTCAGGGACTGGAGACAGTGAAAAGAGTTGCTGAGGTTTGGCAGTGCTTGGAGCTGCAGAAGGGGACAATGGCCTCCAGAGCCCTGTCCTTCAACGTGAGACATGGCTTCTTCCAGGGGAACACAAAGCAGGGCTGTGCAGCCACTCGGGGGTATTAGATGGCTTTGGCCACCAAGATTGCACTCCTGTATGAGCTAACACCTCGTTTTTGAGGAGGATGAGCCTGACAGGCAGACAACAAGCTGCTCACCCTCCTTCATTTGCCCTCTTCCTTGGGGGAGATATTCACCTCTGTGCTGGCAGCACTGCCATCACCACTCTGCTTCTGTTGTGATGGCTTGATCTCAGTGTAAATGACATTGGAGGAGGCAGGTTCTGTCCCCTTCTTCTCAAACTTCAGGTTGGCATAGGTCAGGTCCTCGGTCCCTGTCACCAGGGCTGCCTGCAGGGAAAGAGCAATGAGTAGAGCCTTGGCTTTTCTTTCTGYGTCTCCCCTGCTAATACTTTTCTACTGGCACAACTCTTTGTGCTGCCCAAGCATTACCCAGCTTGCTCAGAAGTGCCACCCACTCAAACACTCATAAGCCCTTATTTAGTAGGAATTAATAAGTATTTAGGACTATGTTTTCAGAAAGCAAAGCTGATTTTACTGTGAAATCCTTTAAGTGGGTATTCAACATTCAATGCTTTTATTGACAGGGAGGAGGAAGCAATACATGAAAAGCCCTCCCTGGCTTACCGTGCTGACCTGATTCCCCTCCACCACTTCCTCACTTGAGAGCTCTCCTGAAAAAGGAAATGTAGTTCAAACAGTAGTTAAAATAAWGACAATGATCATTATTTTAAATTAAGAAAATAATGMAYGAATGAAGCAAACATCTGCATTGGCCCTGCTTTTSAGGTGGGAGAGGATGAGACACTGCAGCTCTGTGGTTCTGAAGATGGCCAAGGGGCTGGAGGGATTGGGAAGGGCTTAAAAGCCCTTGGAGAAGAGCTCTKAGGTGGACATTTCTGGAAATGTAGTGATATGCAAGACGTGTTTCAATCACATCACAGGTTGTGCCATAACCAGATTCCCACCAGCAACTGGCCAGAAGGAAGGGAGGGGGTGAACCTTCACACCGCCCTGGGACAGCTTGTTCAGGAGGACAGACTCGTGAAGGGAACACAGAGTGAGCAGGAGCAGCAGGATGTCAAAAACGGACATCTCCCAAGCCTGGCTTTGTCCAGACCAGCAGCTGAGGAAGAAATGCCAACCTGTTCTGTTCCTTCTGCACCGCCACAGCAGGAAGCCAATGACCGGCATGTAAAGGAGCGTCCCGACCGCTAAGCCAAGGAGGATGCACAGGAGGAGGCTGAGTCCTGCACACACAACATCACAGAGGCACTSGTGAGCCACCATCCCCCCATGCAAGGACACATGCTGCCATTGCCTCCTTCAGTTTCTTCCCAGACTTGGGCTTCTAGACCCTGCACCACCCACAGCTTCAGTGCTGACAAAATCCTGTGGGGAATGCCCTCCAAAACTCATCCAAACTCAGCTAGGGAGTAGCTGAAGCATCAGAGCCCCTTCCCAGCATCGCAGCTCTGATCCACTGGTACCTACCCCAGTATGGCAGTGGGTCCCACCCATTCATGGGAAAACATCTGTGAGGACTCACCTGTCCAGATGTTTCCTGTGACATCCGTCTGAGATCCTGCAGAGTCACAGCCTGAAACATGAGTGAGAGACTGTCCAAAGGAAGAGAACACCCTGCACCCTGCTCTGCTTAGGAGCCCATCAAACAGACCCACTGCCACTTACGGAAATCTGGTGTTCGTGTGCTGTTTCCAGTGTCTGTTGAGTTTGGTCTTGTGATGAAGACCTTACACACACGGATTCCTGTGTGGGCTGTACACATGCAGGAGTTGGTGAGATTTGTACTGTTTTTTCCCACAACCACACTGTTGGTTTGATTCTCCACCTCCACACGTTCAGGTCCATCCCACTTCATCTGCACTGTGACATTCTGYGAACAAATCTCGAACTGCACAGTGATGACTCGATCTGCCAGCTGACTGACTGTTCCTGGAGGAAACAAAACCAGAAGTGATAGCTGAAATAGATATGATCCTGCAGGGTCATTGTCGCCTGTGTCACTCATGGAAGACACGGTGAAGCGACTGTCCTTTCCTGCAGCAGTTGATGATCTTTTCCAAATCTGGCTGCTACCCATTCCTCAGTACTCCACACTGAAYTGTTGCACATTGACTCGTGCCACTGAACACTGTGCAGTGCACAAACTTTTCTGTGTCTCAGGAAGGACATGAGGAAATATGAGGATCAGGGAGAAGACACCTCCTCCTCCTGTGACATAGGGACCCAAGAGGAAGTGCTACAGGCTCAGCTCTGCCATTTCATGGAGTATGAGGTGGGACTGGGGGAGGTTGGCAAGGCAGAATGGTCAGCCCTAGAGAAGCAAAGAAAATATAGTGAAGAGATCCCTGCAGCCCTACTGGCTTCATCCCACCTCCTAATGCTTGGAGAACTTCAGAATCACTTCTGAACCTCTGAGCTGACATCACACCTTCTCAGCTGAGTCCTCCCTCTCTCACGTCTCTTCAGTCCTTTCTTTCCACTCTGAGTGGTGTCAGTCCTCCTGTCCCCTCCCACCCTTGCTCTGTTTGGAACATCCATTCTTGGACGTGTTCTTTGTGTTCTCCACCCTGCATTTGTATGTTCCTCCTTTTGTTTTGTTCATACTAACAAAGATGAGCTGGGTTGGATTGCTTTTTATTGCCACACCACCTACATTCTGCTATTTTCCCTCATTTCAGGTGACATTAAACCATTTCACCTCCCTGGCAGTGCTGCTCAAGCCTGGCTGGGGCAGACACTGTAAGATGAGATCTAACCCTACCAACACATCAACTGTGGCTGAAATCTGGTGAGCAAATCCTGCTGGGAAAAAAAACAAACAAAAAACAAAAACAACAAAAAAAAACCCAAAACAAAACAAAAAAACCAAAAAAACAAAAAAAAAAAACAACAAAAACCTATAGAGGGCTGTTTTTGTATTAAGGAATATGCCAGATGAAGCTGACTCCACTCTGCACTCAATTAGGCTTACATGCATTTTTGTTTCCTTCCCCCCTGCCTGTTTTCTCTCCCTGCTGCTGAAGATGAAGCYGGTTCAAAGCCCCAGAGCTCACAGCCTGCGCATACACAGTTGCAGGGTGAGCCCCACTGCAAGACAGATGGCAGCGTGCTGGTGCAGAAGAGAGGCTAAATGCTGCCAAAGGAGAGGAAAAAGCAGCAGCAGCCACCTCCCAGCATATGGAAAGAGGGAAGAGTTCAGAGCAGAGGCAAGGGCAATGGGGACTCACCAGCTGGCAGGCAGGTGAGGAGCAGCAGGGGCAGAAAGGTGTCAGCCAGCCAGAGCTCCATGCTTCCCAACAGCCTCGTGGTGACGATTCTGGTGCCTGGTGGGATCAGCCAGGAGCCTCCTGTCTCTCCTTGCAGCGTGGGGGTCACTGCTCAGCCAAGGGGAGCTGAAGCCTTGCCGGGACCTCGCCCCCTCGCCACTGGGCCAGCAAGTTCCCTCTGTGCTCACAGGCTGCTCCTCTCTTCCTCTTCTATTGCTTCAGCCCGATTCTTATCTCCTCTCTTCGATTCCTCCTCCGGTTTCATCCTGACCACAGCCCCTCRGCCCTGAGATCAGAGTAASRCATGCAGGAGCTGCAGATGGCCATMTCCCACTGCACTAGGGCCCAGCCCAGCAGCTCCGTGCCACTTCCCAGTTTCCTACAGCACCACCTCCCCACACCACCAGACTGTTTTGTTTTACAGCAGGGAAGGGACCCCYTGGAGGAAGCAATGCTGCTGTCACAGCTGGGGGTGGGGTGATGTCCACACCCATGTGGGGATCGAGTGTACTCGCTGAGCTCAGGTGGGGACCCACACACCCTGCCAGCCCCCAGGGACCTGTGGTTTGCACCAGCATGAGTACCCAGATCCCAGCTCCTGCCCTGCAGGGATGGGGTGCTGCAGGCAAACTCCTGTATTCTCCTGCCACTTGTAGCATAAGGGACACCAGGACATGACTATCCACCAGCCAGACACAGCTTGTGTCACCAAAGGGACAAGGGCAGCAGGTGCAGGCCGCTCKGTCTCCCCAGCCTCTGTGGGTGCAATCTCTGCTTCTCCCCACTGCTCTTCCTCTTTRTGTTCAGAGAAAAACCTCCTCCCATCCGCCATTTCCTCCTGTTTAGTTTCTACCAGCATCCACAGTAACCACCCTCCACACCATGCTGGGCACACACAGCCCAGCCACATATGTCTCCTGGAAGAAAGACTGTTCACTGGAGCTCTTCTCCACCAGCCTGTGGAACCTCCTGGCGGAAGCTGAGGTCTCATCTGCAAACCAACCAACTCACATAAGGAAACAGCAACACCAACATCAATATTTGCTGATGAGAGGGTACAAGATCCAGAAGAATGACAAGTGAAAAGTTCTTTGTCTCTCTTGCTCTCCCCTCTGGACCTCTTCATCTCTTCCCATGCTCTTTCTGATGTTCAGTTTCTCTCTGCAATCAACTCTTCATCTCTGCTCATTTTGCAACTGCATCATGATGTGTATTTGTTTGCTTCCTTCCCTTTCATTTCTATTGTAGTTCTCACATTTCCTAGAACTGATGAAGCCAAGACCTTCTTCAGCAGGAAATGCTTTCCCAGCTGTGGTGCCAGTGGAACTGAAGGTTAATGTCTGAACTCTGCTGACTCCACAGAGCTCCTCTCCTACCAGAGCCCYTTTCAGCTCCACAGCAACATTCCASGRTGCTCTCTGCCAAGGAGAAAGGAGAGCAGGAAATGACAATGCTGTTGTTGATAACAGGGTGCCCTGCATCACAGCAGCTTCACCAGGCACTACACAATGTCCACAGCAATAGGGAGGCTGCAGAGTTCCTCAAAAGCTCCCCATCTCCTTCCAGTGAACGAGGGAAATACAGAACGTGCCTCCCTCATGGGAGCCGGTGAGGAGCCTCCCGTTCGATTTTGGGGAGGATCAGGAGCGCTGTGAGGAGAAGGGCTGTCCTCAGTCGGCCCTTGGTGGCTTTACAGGAGCTCTCCCTTGAGTGCCGTGGAGCTCTGCCCTCCGCAGGGTTTCCAAAAGCGATCCTGCCCTCGGCCTGAACCTCAAAGCACTGTGGAGCTAACGGGGCTCGGGGGCACATTGCTCTGAGCCCTGAGCCCTCACGGAGCTGGGCCCCGCACACCCGGCGTCAGAGCACCCGTTGCTAGTGATACCGAGCAGGACGTGGCTGCAGAGCCTGGCGGCGTCCCGGACTCGCCGAGCCAGCGCATCGTCAGGAGGGAGCGGCCACCGCGGACCCCGACACCGGGACACCCCTAGAGCCCCGAGCGCCTCACGGTAGCGCTCATGGCGGGGATGACGCGGCCCCGTGCTGCTCTTCCATTGGCTGTTATCTCTGTCCGTCACCTAAAGCCCCGCCCTCCGCCCATCTCCGGCCGCAGGATTGGCCACCCCTCCCGCGGCGCGTGAAGCCGCCCCGGGCGCCGCCATGTTTGCAGCCGTTGCCCGGCGAACGGGCGGCGCGGCGCTGAGCTGTCGCGCATGCGCGAGCCGGGCAGGGGCGCCGCCCCGGGAGCGCGCGGCGGCCGCGGGAGCGCGCCCGGCCCGAGGATGCGGCAGGCGGGACAGCCCCGGCGGCCCGGCCGGGCACAGGTGAGGGCGGCTCGGATCGCTGCGGCCCCCGGGCTCCTCCGCTGCCCCGGGACTGCTGGGCGGCGCGACCCTGCCTGAGGGCGCGGAGCCGGGAGTGGCCGGGAATGGGCCGGGGGTACCAGCTCGGTGTGGGCCGGTGGGATGAGGTGGGGCCTGTCCCGTCCAGAYCCCTGAAGGGGGAGGTCAGGTGAGGTCAGGTCAGTGAGGTGAGGCGAGCCYTGCCCTGTTCCACAGGTGAGGCGAGGTCAGGTGAGCTCTAACCCGTCCAGCCCTGTGAGGGACCCGCACACTGCACAAGCCCCGCAGCCCGGGCGGTCAGAGCATCGTGGGCCATGCCAGAGGCATCCCCGGGGCTGCCATGGCCCTRCCAKGAGCTTTGCATGAAGGCTGGTTTGGTTTCCAGGATTTTCCAAATGCTGTTCTCTCCGGCTCGGTCCTCATTGCCACCTTCGACCTCGGGCGGTGCCTGTGGGAAGTATTGTGCCTGGAACGGGGCCTTTGCTGCTCTACATCCAGACCAGGAAGGACACAGGGCTTGTCTCGAGGTGTGGTGGGTGTTCCTTGAGGCTGTGGACGCCTGGGTTATCACACAACCCGCTGGCACTGAATCAAAAGCACGTTTAGTAAAGAAAGCATATAAATTTTGACATCACCACGTGAAGCGTTTCATACAGAACCTCGGGTGTATTTGTGCCAGAGGGCARAAATGCTTGCTGGTGTGGTCCTCCATCACATGCCTCATCTTCTTGGGAACCCAAATTAATCTTTTTAGGATAAGTTGGAGACACATGAAAAGCTTTCTCTTTATGCAGAGCCAGTGCTACCCTGGCCAGCACCTTTCTGGACGTGGGCTGTTATTCTTTCACTACCTTTGGCCATCGGTAATGGTCCACAAGAGTTTCTGGGCCCTGTGATCCTTGACTGTACTGTTTACTTTTTGAAACTTATGCCTTTGGAACTCCCAGACTGCTTCAACATGGAAATTAATTGGATCCTGTAGAAATCACCAAATTTCTTATTGCATTGGGTCACATAACTTCTTGTTGCTATGTGTACCAAAAGAATCAATCTTCTATGGGGAAGAAGACTTGAATGGCACTTTAAACTCGCTGTGAAATTCAGCAAAATTGGAGGTGTTTTGTGGCCTCCAAAAAAGGAATGGCAGAGCCCTAAGTGCTTCTGTTGGAAAATATTAAGTCAGAATGATGCTGCAGGATTGATYATTTCATCTCTGTTAAAAAGAGGTTGGTTTTTATCTCCTGACATGCAAGATATCTGTTGCAGTCTGGTTTCATTTGCCCATAAAACCTTYTGGGTTTTCTGGGGTTCTTGTTAAAGTATTCATTCCAGTATTTGACCACTGGAGATGTTRATGCACTAGGATTCTAGGATTTTAACTTCTGAAAGCTTGGCTTTTTAAAAGGCTTTTTTTGATTTTTTGTAACTGATTTGCTGAGGCTTGTTTGAAAATTTGAGGCTTGGTGGGTTCTATAGTAAATAGAAATTGTACCTAATTCTAAATTCTGGTGTTTGTCACAGTTTCAGGCATGCATTTCTCGCAGCTGTTTCTATGCTCTGCCAAATCCACTTTTCTCTAGATTTTAGTTCAGTGCTAGATGTGACTTCTGTGTATTCAGTGACCCTCAGTGGACAGACAGGATTAATTCTTCTGACTCCCTGTAAATGACAAATGTTTGCAAATTTTTCACGGCAAGGGCACTTCACAACTACCAAAGTCTTCTTCAAGGATCCACCTYCTTCAGATGGCTTTGATTCTGCCTTCTCTGAGCTCCTTTTGTTATGCTCCTGTGTGATGAAGGGCAGCGCAAATTTCGGTTTTCTCCATCCTAAGCTGCTCAGTACTTTATTACCTGTGATGTCTCTTCYAAACTGAGGAATCTTTATTGCTTAGATCTTCTTTATGAGAAGATATTGATGCTTTTGATGACTCCTGCAGCACTTCCAGTCCTGCTCCCCACCCTCCTTAGAGCAGAAGTAACAGATGTGCACGTAGAGCTCCAGATGATGGTGCTCTGGGGACCTCTTGGCAGCATGGTGCTGTTCCTTTGCAATCTCTGTTCTTTCTTCATAAACTGTTAATTACAGCTGCCTCTCCTCAGCAGTGGYCTTGTTCTGACACAGGGTTTAGGTTGTTTCCTCAGGGTGGCCTGGGCTGGAGTCCCACTGCCAGCACTGCAGTGTGGGTGTGAGGGGTGGAGTACCCACATGTACCCCCTTTCAAAGCTCTCCTTACAGGTCTTTCAGCATCTGCTCCAGTTCTGCCTGTGCCACGTGTGCTCTGGGACTTGCTCTGTTTAACGATTTTCTTTTTGCTGCCTTTCAGCATCTACATCCATCCTGCAGYGTCTGCCCTGCCAATCCAGGACTTCCCAGTTGGTCAAAGTCTGGTAGGGGAAGAGGAGGCTGCAGGTGACTCTCAGGAGAGGGAAGAGAAGAATGTCCTCTGCTCAGGGCCACTCTGCAGAGCCTGCTGGCTGCAGTGTTTGAGGGTCTTCAGCCCTGTGGGGCCCTTTTACCGTGCAAGCCATGTCTCCATATGCAGAGAGCTGGGGCTGCCTTGCTGGAAGTCATTGCTGAGGCTGGGTTGATCATTTCTTGATTTGTGGTGGTACTAGTGTTGAGCTGGTGTCCTGAAGTTCTTGTAGGATCAGGAGCTGGTGCATGGTAGATAATCACTAGATTTTGTAGRTTTGTGCCGTTAGCTCCCAGTGATACCAGTGCAGAAACATGTTATGTTTTGGGATAAGTGAGTTTAAAATTAATTCCACCTGACTGAGATCTTTTTTTAAGAGGCAGTTGGATGGAAAACAGGAATGAGTAACTGTTAAAATGAGTGAYTGTTACAGAAATCAGATTATCTGAGTAGCAGGAGTCTCCTGTWGCACATGATATGGTGTTCTCTTAGAGCATTTTCAATGAATTCAACATTTTCTAAACWGTTGTGGTGTTRTGTTAGTTGGACATTGTTAAGCACATCTGTGTGATCTGATGGAAACAGGCACACACTCACCTGGTCTCCTCAAAGAAAGATGATGCTTTTTCTGCTGTAAGAATTTCTGATTCTGCCAGACAATAAAATGCCAAACATGGATCTGTAAGGACTTGAAAAAGTTGTGCTTGCTGTCCATTCAGTTGCAAGATTTTATTTTTGTTTGTGGATACAAGCCATCCTCCTTGCCAGCATCCTTGGATCCCACCCTTTTAGGTAGAATAGTAAATATTTCCAAGGTCCTTTTGATCTTTGTCACTACCTTATTTGAGTGTTCTGTTAAATGTTGGATAAAAAGGAATTTATGCCAATGAAAGTTGTTAATCTTTAAAAAGAATGACAGTGACAGTATCACTGCAAACACTGCATCACACAGAATAAGGAAAAACATCCTGACTTAATTAAGTAAATATTTCATAAGCTGTTTTATAGCATCTGTAAACATTTGTGCATTTTGCAGGATAAATATTCTCAAGCATTTCCGTTTTCTATTTATGTCTATACTGCAAAAATACCATGGAATTCAGTCAGGGTTCAGTTGTGTAACACATACTGAGCAGTGTAGGCACCCCTAGACTAACGAGACRCTGACTGCAAACAAAGCACTTGTACTGGGAGTAGTTTACTTGTGTGCTGGTAGTGCCCAGCACTGTKTCAGGATTTGCTTTCATGTGTTGTAACTTAATGTGACTATCTTATGATGGCGAGATGAGTAACGCTCTCTGAAACAGGTTGTGATTCTTGCTGCTTACAGAGGTCTTTTCCAAAGGTGTTGATCTGGTGCTGGTACCAGTTCTCTTTTTAAATATGGTCTTTGCTTTTTCATTGTAAGCTTCTAAAAAAAACCTGAATTTGTCATGTTTTTCTCTCTTAAAAAAAAAGAAGAGAAGATCAGGTGGGTGTAGTAGATGAGAGTTCAGAAAGGCACAGAACAAAAGCTGGATCGTAGGTTTCTATGCTGTCAGAGATTGAGGAGAGTTCTGACATCTCTCCTTGAAGTTGGTGCTAAAGCAAATGCCAAAGGCAGTTTGGCCAGCTGTGGACAGCTACTGTGCTAAAATGGACTGGCAGGTAGGGATTGAAGGAA